CCAACCGCGTATACTACGGATACCTCCAGGCGGGGACTTGGGAGAGGAGCGTTACCACTTTTCTAAGTCCTCGGGGCCCCACAAATTGGCCCAAAGAAAGTCCCGGAGCGGCGGGCTTGCGTCCCCGGGCCCCCACAGGGGGTGCGGGAAGGCCGCCCCGGCTCACAAGAAGGCGGCGGGACTGGGCTGCCCCCCCTGAAAGGTTGAGGGTAGGAGGAAGGGAGACCTGTCGTGGGGGGGGGCTATCCAGAGCCAGGGCGCACGAAAAGCGCCTTTGTTGAGGGAGTTATTTTTTGGGGCCCGTTGCGGGAGTCTGTGACTCCGCGTGGGGTGGGGGCGGGCCCCAGATCCGGAGTGGGCTCCTGGCAGAGGAGGAGATCCGGGATTGGGCTCCCAACCGCCCCTTCCTCGCCAAGTGGGGGGTTGTGAGCCTGCAGCTCTGGGTAGGACGTTTGCCCAGTGCCTGCGGGTGGTGGGCATCAGTGTGTGTTGGGGGGGGGGGGGGGCTCCTCTGCATCTACAGGGTGTGAGGCCTTGGCAGCTGAGGTGGGGAGGGTTTGTGTTCTGTGAATAACAATAACACTTCTATTGATTACTGATTGCTGCTGTATACGCCTTAGTTCATTTGACCACTTCAGTATTATTTCCTTATCTTTCCCATTTTATAGATGACAAAGGTGAGACACAGAAAAGTCAAGTAACACTCCTGATGTCACACAGCTGTTTCACATCCAGGACAAACAGTATCTGAGCCGAGGTGTGGGGCGAGAAGGTGGGCTGGGCCTAGTCCGGGTGAGGGGTCGGATTGGAGGGGGGGCGGGGAGGAGAAGTTTCCCGTGAGGAGCAAGTCTGGGGAGAGGACCTGCTACATCCTGTCCACCCCAGTGCCTTGGAGAGCAGGGATGAGGGTGGCTTGTCCCCTGGTGACCAGCCCACACCTCTGTGCAGGTCAGCATGTCATCCTTGCACCAGGAGAATTAGGAAGGGAAGCTGGGAAACCTGGAGGCTGTGGCTGTGGTCATAACTGTTGAGACAGGCTTGTCTTCTCTGCTGTGTCCTTGTGGACAGGCTGGAAGTAGCCTCAGATCCCAACCCAGCAGCCAGACCCCAATCCCTGCCCCTCTGAGATGCAACCGGCAGGGCATCTCCCTGACCAGTCTCTGCAGGGCGAGCTGGGTCACAGCTTGCACAAGCACCTTCTGCAAAGGAGGGGCTGAGAGTGAGGGGACACATCACGGCCACTCACCTCCTACCGGGCATGTGGCTGACCATTGGCAACCATTTGCTTTCCCTCACAGACCCACTGCCCACCTCATCCTCAGCTGAGGCACCAAGACCAGCGTGTGGATGGAGGTCTGGGGTCAGGCCAGGAACTAACTGGTCAGTGCACCCAAACTTCTGCACCCCCTTCTGTTCCCTCCACTCCCGGTACCTCTGTCTGCTGATGGGAAAGTGGGTACACATGAGTGAGTGGCCCCTCCTTGTTTCAGCACCTGAGCCCCCTCCGCCCCATCTGCAGCCTGAGCCCTTACATAGCCTGATAGTGGGAGCTCCCCTCACGGCCACCCTTGCGGCCTGTGTCTTGCTCGTAGGCGTGCCGCTCCATGTCTACTGCCA